GTCAAAGTGAGAGCTGCAAGAACTTGCAAACAGCTGGCACATCTGCAATTCAAGATTCTGACTCTGGCATTAAGAAGTCAGCAAACCAGTTTATTTGGGCTGCACTGAGCACATGTGAAGCAGAAAAACACATTAAAAGAATCATTTAGCTTAAAGCTACTAGCCAAACGGCCAGAACTCACTTGATCTGCCTTCTTCTTTTAACTACAGATTGGTGAGATTTAAGAAACAAATTGTCTTTTTCCTATTGTTCAAGATACTGGTGAAGACAGAGACATTACAGTGGCCATGCTGTTAATTGGGACTATGGTGTACAGTTACAATGAAAGCCAAAAATAAATGCTAAACACAAACATTTACCAAATTTCATGCGGATATATTCATATGGATCCTCTTGCCAGAGCTCTTCATCCTCATCTTTGTAGCACATCAGAGAGAATATCACTTCTTCTGTTATACTCTAACATTAGAGAAGTCAAATACACATAAGTACACATAAAATCAAACTCCAGTACAGGTTCCCTCCACTATGCACTAATTTACTAGACCTGCTTTTCTGAAGAGCAAAATTCTTTTAACCAGTGTTTTTTCATTTTGGCTAAGGGAAATAAACTTACAATATACATACTTTCCTTTTGTGATAGTCCCACACAGCAGCAATTATATAATCTAACTTTATGATAATACAGTACCACAAACAAAATATACTTCAGGACATCGTCTATAAACAGGGGAACATGACATTCTGCAGAAGAATATCACCAATCCAAAATTTGAAATGAGAATGGATTTCAGAGACCTTCCTCTTAACACTCATGGCATTAAGTACCTACAACAGGGGAGCTTATGGTATGAAAAAAAGCATGAAAATAACTTTTCACTTGTTCTGAGTTCACTTACAGAACGTGTCCTTAAAACAGAGTTCAGTTCCTCATAGTTAATGCTCTCTTTGTCCACAGTCTTTGCACTACAATCAATTATGAATTTCCAAATCTATAGACAATTCTGAACACTAGCAACTAGTAAAAGCCAGAACATTATGACTTACTGGCAGATTTCAAAAATAAAAATAAAATAACTTATGGAATGGAATCTTTAATTGGGTTAACACTATCTGCAATAAAAGGTAGTCATAATACTGAAAAAAACCAACCACATTAATGCAGAAATGTTATATTTTGCACAGATCGATTGCTGTGTGAAAGATTCATGAAACCTTTAAAAAACTGAAATTTAAAAAATTTTTTTTTTAAAAAACTGGTGCTTTTAATCATCCTGATGACATGCAGTGGGGTTTTGTGCACTGACCTGTATGTGTGGCTTCATTTGCTTCCATGTTACAGAGTGAACAACCCCTTGGTTCAGATAATTTAGCGTTTGCTGAAGAACGCGTGGTGCAACATAGTCTTTTTGCCTGTATTGGTCTAAGATTCTTAAGAGAACCTAAAGAAATGACAAATTAATATTTTTAAATTAAGACTGAATATTCTCTCTCACGTATAGACATGCAGTGCACTTCTTCAGTGAATGTACATGTAACTAAGTTCTACAGCAGAGGTTCTAGTGTTAGTAATCACAGTAATGCTTTTGATCCAAAAATCAGAAATAATGGAAATATTAAGGATCTAATCCTGCAACCATTTATGTACATTTATGTACCTTTACTACTAGCCCCACCATGTGATCGCTTGTGATTGTAAACCAAAGATATGCTTCAATATTCACAAGCTCACAGTTTACATGTGCCTCAGCAAAATTTGGACTAGATAAGGAAAAGGCACTGTGATATTTTCAAAGTGGTTGGCCTCTGAATTTGTTAGTAGTGTCTGTGTTCATTTTTCAAGGACAGGCCTCTAAAGAAGACAAATCACTTTGGAAGAGCAGTGATAAGAATAGAAATACTAAACTAGAAAAAAAAAAAAGGTTATCACCTAAATCTGTGAATCAGAAGAGATTCAAACCCCTTAACTTCAATTACCTGTTGTAACCATCAGATCGTATCACCTAGCATTCTATCACAAACTCTATCACACAATGCTTCCTTAATGTAAAGGCTTGCTCTACTAAGAAAAACCTACAGTACAAAGCCATTAATCTGCACTAATGGCAGATGAACTATTAAGTGTTAATAAGTTTAAAGAATGGGCAGGTACCTGAATAACAATAAAAGTCAAGGACAATGCATAACAAAATATTCAGTTATATATTTTCAGAAGGACAATTTTGCTCCATAATTCTTCACAATACTATAATAGATCTTATTTTGAATATAATTCCTTCCTTAGGAGCACTAAGTCTGATCTTAAGTCTTTCATATGATATGGTCCTTGGGCAAGAATTGTCTATCTCTCATATAGACTCTAGCAAGATGTCAGCACTTAACAACTGATAAATAAGTAATGAAGCCTTAGTAATGTAACAGTCACAACAGAATTCTTACTAACTCTGCAAGGAAATGTGTCAAATCAGCTTTTAAAAGCCAGAAATGGAAAAAATATGCAGGTTGTCCAGTCCATTTACCTTTAAAGCTAAACTGTTCCCTCTACTACACAGCCTTCTTAACAGAAGATTTTTAAGTATTTCAAATTACAACTGCCCATGGGAGTCTATAATTACACTCAGGAATTAAATGTTGCAAGGAGTTTAGAACAGATATTAGACTGTTTCCCTTTTCATTTAACGCTTACAGGGTTATCACAAACATTCATCTCTTTAGTTCTTAACGTTTACACATTCACACTGAATTAATATGCTGATGGATAAACTAAAAAAATTTTACAGTGAGGGTGTTGAGGCACTGGAACATGTTGCCCAGAGAAGCTGTGGATGCCCCATCCCTGGAGGTGTTCAAGCCTAGGCTGGATGAGGCTTTGAGCAACCTGGTCTAGTGGAAGATGTCCCTGCCCACAGCAGGGGGGTTGGAACTAGATGATCTTTAAGGTACCTTCCAAGCCAAACCATTCTGTGATTCTACGTTAATCACAAATAATTAGCATTCCCCAATAAAAAAAAATTTCCTTGCAAACTATGAATTTATGAAATACATTTCACAAAATATGTTTTCCAGGTATAAAATAATTTTACTGCAGTTCTCCAGACAGCTTCTAATCTGCTTGTATCTTCCTGAAATAAAACAGTATCACTGGATTTCTGTGCCTTAGTTGTTTGCAGCAAAAGCACTTACTAAAGACTGGCCTGAAAATACACCCTTCTATTGGCCTCTGCACTAATAGTTTTTTCTCTCAGCTATATCTAGAGTGTTTATACATGATGATAACACTATTTTATCAGCACTTGCCTTTTCTGAGAATTTCCCTGCAGGGTTTTTTTGAATTGCTGGGAATCTGTGTTATTATACCTCAGTTGTGTATGACACTGAGTTCTAAAGAACTTCTTAATCACTAAAAGAAAAACCTGACTCCGTTCATTTTTGTTTAATGAATGAACTTCGATACGAGCACACTGTTGAAAAGCAATAATTTGTTCAGCCAAAATGATCTAATTCAGAAACAAATAAACTATACTTACCTGTTGTATGCCCACAGCGTAGGTTTTTAAAAAAAATTCTGAGAATTCAAAGTATTCTTTAGTTACATTTCCAGGACTTCCATACCTTTAAAAAGAAGAGGACACAGATATTTACATTATGAGAAGTCTACTGTGTAAGGAAAACACAGTACTTTCTTAAACACAAAGGACCCTGAGCAGTCTTCCATCCCCAAAGGAATCCTTCCCACAGGTTCCTCTGAAGCCATTATTCCCCATATAATGCCTCACTTCCCATTTCTTTTCTTAGATTCTCATAAGGTACAATACTAGTCAAGTAAATATAGCCACCTTCTCCTCACAAGCTCTGTAACTTCAATTTTATGGATTTCTTTTCAAATCTTTTCCTGCCTTTGTATTTGAGAATGTAAGTACTTATAGCTGGATGTAGTAAATAAAAAAAAAATTTAAAATTTACTTTTCCTGCGGGGCTAGTTTCTTGCCATCTTAGAGACTCAAATCATTTCTGTAAGAGCTCAGACCAGTGGCTGGGGGGGGGGGAGGGGGGGGGACATCTTCAGTGACCATGAGCTGTTAAATCAACTAAACAGTGTCTTGTCTAACTGCACCTCAAATGACATTACAGATTTGTAACCTAAATTTAGTTTTTAATCAGTTTGTTACTTTATTACCGTTCAAAAAGACGAGCTACAATATGCAATGCCCACTTCTTGCATTTCCACCACACCAGCTCCGGTCTATCATCTTCATCAATTTGCAAAGTCTCCTATGAATAAATAAATTTTGTTTTAAATTAGCTGTGGGTATTGTTGAGATAAATTATGCTTTAAACATTCCCTGCTGAGTAAACTAATTCAAATGCACAGCATCAACTAAAGCTTTAGTTCTTTTAACGGTTATATAACATTAAGGAAGTTTCTTCAGGAATTAGTCAACGTAACATTAAATGTGTAAGACCTGTACAGTGCCTGTACGTTAATTTTCAAAATTATGCATATTTAAAAAATGGAAACTCTCACATATACTTGAATACCAACCAGTGGCATGCACTCTGACTTAAAAATTAACCATGATACTAACTCCTCCAAATACACACACCCTAACCATATACTAATGCAAAAGCTATTAAAAGAACACTAAGGTTGTGAAATAAACTTCTAAAAAACTTAAGACATGCAAGTTAATGTACACACATAAACAAGAATTTAATTATTATTTTTATTTTGTTCTTCAAGAAATATAAAGGGCAGATGAAAGAAAAAGAGGAACAGAGACAAATGATGGGTTTGTGATGAGCTTTTGATGCTTTTTTTGAAAGAAACTGGCTAAAATTTTTGGGAACTTCTAAAATATCCCAGATTAGAACTTACATAGTGTCACTACTTCTGACAATGAAATTCTGACAGTTTACATGATCTTCCTGTGTTTCTGTTAGAAACACCACTTACTCCAAGGATAAGAATCTTAGACAGATGACCTCTTAAAAAAAGAACATTTAGAAAATCTTCCCACTGACTGTTCCTCAAATGCCAACACACAACTATCAGAGGTCTTTACAAAACTAAAACTTACTGGAGGTACATTTCTATCAATGATAGTACGGAAGATCTCCATCCATTGAGTCATAGTCTGGTTATTTACCAACTGGAGCGGCAACGCATACTGAAATAAGAAAAAACACACACTAATGAAATAGTAGTAATTTTCTCTGAAAAAGGCAGATGTTTCTACAGTAGTTACATTCTGAGGAAGATGAGGTATTAAGTAAAACTAAAACTAATTAGGTTAGGTATCAATACTACTCTAATTGCATCCTTCTTGGTATAACTTACAGAGGAATTTCTGAGCAGACACTATTTGAGGAAAGCTCCTTGGTCTGAGAACTTGCTAACTTGGTTTTTTCCTGTTCTTCACAATAACCTGGCTAACTTTTAGGGATGACAGAGGTGTCTGCATAACAGGGTTTGGGTAAACCAATAGCATTTTAGTAAGTGAAATGTACTCCGAATTATTACCTAGCTACTATCTAATAAATCTTACTTCTCTACAAAATCCAAAGCAGAGTAACAATATTGAGAGCAGCCCCGAGGAGAAGGACTTGGGGGTGCTGGTTGATGGGAAGCTGAACATGACCCAGCTATGTGCGCTTGCAGCCCAGAAAGCCAACTGTATCCTGGGCTGCATCAAAAGAAGCGTGACAGTAGGTTGAGGGAGGTGATTCTCCTCCTCTGCTCCGCTCTTGTGAGACCGCACCTGGAGTCCTACATCCAATTCTGGGTCCCCCAACATAACAAGGACATGGACCTGTTGGAGCGAGTTCAGAGGAGAGCCACAAAAATGTTCAGAGGGTTGGAGCACCTCCCACACAAGGACAGGCTGAGAGAGTTGGGGTTGTTCAGCCTGGAGAAGAGAAGGCTCCGGGGAGACCTTGTAGCAACCTTCCAGTACTTAAAAGTGGCCTACAGGAGAGATGGGGAGGCACTCTTTATCAGGGAGTGTAGTGATAGGATGAGAGGTAACAGTTTTAAGCTGAAAGAGGGTAGGTTTAAATTAGATATTAGGAAGAAATTTTTCACTGTGAGGGTGGTGAGGCACCGGAACAGGTTGCCCAGAGAAACTGTGGATGTCCCATCCCTGGAGGTGTTCAAGGCCAGGCTGGATGAGGCTTTGAGCAACCTGCTCTAGTGGAAGGTGTCCCTGCCCATGGCAGAGGGGTTGGAACTAGATGATCTTTAAGGTCCCTTCCAACCCCAACCATTCTATGATTCTATGAATATTCAAGAAAGCTACTGAAAAGTAAAATAGGATCTTGGGATCCTTTTAATCCTTCCCCCATCTAATAACAAGCTATTTTAGCTTTTTAACCCCCAGTAAGAATTTTCACATTGTCCCTTATGTAGGATCTTGTTTTGTTTTCATTTCATGGTAAAAATACTTCCTCACCAAATTAGTCCCTGTAAAAGCCAAACTCATTTCTGTAAAAAGCACATGCCTCAAAAAATAGTATCTGCCAGAACTTCAGAAGACAATGAGAAATGCCATCTACTGAAGTGCACTATTTGACAGCTATACCACAATATCCACTAGTGACACTTTCAGAGGCCAACTAGCACACTCTAGATACCCATATGGTTTATATCAGGTAACGTGTGACTTTATAAAAATAGGAACATTTCTCCAGTAAGTTTACACATAGGATATGCAGAAGTACCTAGGTTCATCAAAAATTTCATCTCAGGGATCATGTGACCAGTTTTTAAGTAGACAAATCTATAAAGATCATATTTTTATAAAAGCCATTTATTTTACATTACTTTTCCCATCCAAATCGGTATTCTTACTCAATCACACCCATGAGTATACTAAAGGGTGTCGCTGTGCCCAGCAAAGTAAAAGTTTTGGTTTTCCTCTACACAGATGCCAACCTGAACAAGAGCATAGAAGATTTTTAAGATTTGTTTCTGAAGCAGCACAGAGTAATGGGAGTTATCAGGCAGAAGCTGGATCATCTGTTGCTGAATCCGAGGCAAAAATATTTGCATTGCTGCTATGAGAGGATCTCGCTCCTCTGCTTTTTTGTATCTGCAAAAGAAACAAAAATGTTGGTCCAGGATCTATACACTGAAGATTCTAATACCTATTAAGATAATTTCTGTACCCTAAAAAAATATATAAACTAATATCTAGCACTCACTCATTCACTCTCCCCTCCTCTAGCTCCCATCTCAACAACTTGTGCAAATTCGCTAACCTATAAATAGAGAAATGAAAAACCACAAATGTTACTTTATATAAACGGAGATATTGGGAGGAAGAACTAAGGTTCTTTACTACTGAATTGTCAGCTCACAGAAGCAGGAACTTGAATTTCTCTGACATTCGTACCAATGCCAAACCCAATTTGGGTGCTGAACAAATAGGAGCAAAGAGCCATTGAAAGGGAAAGACAATTCCTTTGTTTGGAAAACATTCTTTCTCCATTTACATTTATTTTGTGCAGTTTATATATATGTTTCTAACAACAAATAATTTAAAAAAAAAATTAGTGAGAGAGCTCACTACGCTTCTCATAACTCACACTCTGTGGATTTAGACTATCAGGAGGATGATAGAGGTAACAACATGAAATAGAAGCATATGACAATGATAGTACTGTTTCATGACATAAAAGTAGAAAATAATTCGCATTCATATATCCAGCATTTGGGGAATCTTCAAACAAAAGAAGTTATCAACATTCAAGAAATTTTTCACAGATTGGTAAAATCAGCTCAAAAGTACAAAGCCTCAAGAAAAAGTGTCAGTAAATTCATACAGATTATAGTTGGCATCTCTGCTTTCAATTCACTGATGATATAAAGATGATGCATAGTTTTCATTTATTTGCAGGAAAGGAAGCATATAATAATTATTGATTCCCATTTTCTATCTGAATTCCTTGTACAACTGCCAGTGCTCTTAAGAATGTCACTCTCACTAATCAGCTGAGACTAAAAGTATCAATTCCTCATCTTCTGATGGACATCAACTTACTCGTAAGTCTTCACCAGCTGATAAAGGCACAGGAGGCTCCCAAGCCAACTCCCACTGTTCTGAGACTGCAAGTAGTAGCCTATCTTGTCTACCACGGCTGTCCAATGGCCAGGAAAGTCATGTTTAATGATAGCACGGAGACACATTGTCAGCTGTGCTCTATGGCAAGAGGGAAAAAGAAAGACACTCTAAGTAAATAAGATTATGGCATGGTGTTTAATATTAAAGGATAGTTCCCAAATCTTGGTTTGTTCGCCACAGTACACATATTACATCATAAGTATCATGCTTATTTTGACCGAAAGAGTTCTAGGAAATAGCAGAAGAAAAACGAGAAAAAAAATCCCAGGGGATATAACTTAAAGGAAGAAACTAACTTCAGAACATTTTAGCTAGTTTTCTCCCTTCCTCCTCCCTCTCCACACCCATCAGGCAATATCTGAAAACAATTAATTGCTCATGAAACCAGCTAGCTTTGTACTTTGAAAATGAATGTGTATACTTCTACACACTTATGAGTCTGAAAGCAATCATAAAAACACAAGTTTGTACATTTTAATTAAACAGTACTGGCTTGTGTTATGATCCAAGCCAGAAGTTCCTTATGAAATTACAATTTTCCTGGAATCTTCTAGAATAGCATTTTCTCAACCTTCAAAGCATATGGCACAGCCAATTAGGTAAAAACATCTTACCATTCCTCTCCCTCCACACAATTTTAGGTGCCACTCACAATGCTGAGGGCAAGACAGGGTTGTTGATTGACTAAAGTGAGGTGTGACTAGAAAAGCTGAGCAGCACTGAACTAGAAGCTGTAAAATAAATACTCTTGGCCCCGCTAAGAAATAAATTTTTTAAAAAAAGTCTGCAGAAAATATTGGTTCTTCTATATTTATTTTTCCTTGGGTATCCTCTTGCAGTCCATTACATAAAGAGCCGCTATTACAAAGTAGTTCAGTAAGGGGCCCTCCACTTACTGATCCTTCGAGCTTTGTACACAAACTTACCTTTCCCCTCAAGCCTTTGGAGTTTGTTGCCGATTTGGTTCCTCCTCACCCCTTATCTTCACAAACGGTGAAAAATATCAGTATTACAACATCAGACTAGTTCCAGTAAAGTTTCTTGGACTTTTTTAACCTCTGACGAATCTACAAGTTTAGCCAGTATTTAGAAACCCTGTACTTTATTTTACATGATTGTCCCAGGGTTTTTGACAATCCTTTTAGATGTAGATTGTTGTACCATCAGGACATTTTGAATCTCAGGTTATGAAACAATGCCTGAACTAGTTTGCAAAAAACTCTGCAAACTTCCATTATTTTTTTTCTTTTGTGTAAACTTAGCCTTGGTATTTATGACATGATGGCAGAGGAAACTACATGCCTTTATTACATTATCACAGAAACAACACAAGCTTCCTTACCTTGTACCACAGCCTTGGCAAGGAACACCTATCTCTTTCAGTTGAGATACTTATCATCTGTGTCAGAGCGCATTAGAAAAGCTGAACCGGAAACGATGATCTAGTTCATTTTCTTGTCTCAGTACATGACCGTTTGTACCGTAAGCATTCCTGGCAGGTGTTTGCCTAATCTATTCATAAAGACCTCCAGTGACAGCAATGCTATAGCAGTCTAATGCATTCTGGTGTTTCATTATTTTTGTAAAGTGTTTTCTCTAATCCCAATTTCAATCTGTAGTCAAACACTCCTCTTCCAGATATACTGACAAAAAAAGACATCTTTGAATACTTAGCTAGTGGAAAGGAGAAGGCGAGAAGAGGAAGATTTTCTTCTGTTTTTCAACATTACACTACAGTCTAATCCCATCCTATCACTTTAATTAGAGTAGTAAACAATCCCAGCCTCACTTTAATTAGAGTAGTAAACAATCATAGATTGTAGCATGTCTGTGAATCTTTACGATTCTTCCAGCAAAAAGAGAACAGTGTTTCTTCATTCTTTTAATATCTTAAAACCAAGAATGCTAACACACATGTAAATACTGGGATTACATTAAAAAACTGGAAAAGTAATTGAGAAAACAGCTACTAGAAAAAAGAAAACAGATCTTGGGCAGTATTCCTCTGAATGGTTAATTCTGTATTGCAGATAGCCCTCTATACTATCTGCCCTGAATCAGCCAAATAGACAGGCTGTCACTACAGCAAATGATGTAAGACACTTTAAACAACACCATAAGAGGACAAATCACATCACAGGGCTCTTGGCCAGGTTACTACATTTCTGAAAAATAAGTACACATTAATATGTTAAAATTAATTATTACTACATTTTCAAAAGAAGTACTTGCTTCACCTCCCAAGAAATTGAGATTCTCACATTAACTACATACAGACTGGTAAGTCTGAGAACTTGAGCTACAGAAATATCTCTACACAATGTAAGGTACCTCACTAAGTCAGGAGAACGAATTATTCCTTCTACAATGTTATCACGAATCTGTTGACGATCATTTTCATGAATGTTGAATGGAAATACTGCTTCTCCAGGAGGTGGTTCACGGTCCGGCCAGTACTGTGTCACCATGTTCTTCAGGTAAATGGCAGCTAAGCATAAACATTGGGGGAAAAATAATTTAATTCTAACACATCTTCACATTACTCTGTGCTCAACATGTTGTACAGCTGAAAGCAGAACGAAGAGCTGAAAAGATGACAGAAAACCACTGCATGAGTTCTTAACAGTTACAGGCCCTAAGCACACCCGAGTCAGAAAACCATTTTTTTATGATTCCACACAAGATCAGGCTCAAGTGCCTGGTCCTAAACAGGATGGGATAGTATTTCAGTCAGCTTCTACTGGGGTACATTCTTTATTACAGCAGTCTTCCATATGGACATAATATTGCATCGCTCTAAACATGCAAACAAAAATCTACTTCTCTGCATTTTCACTCATCCCTAAAACAACTACTCAAGCTCAGTAAGTGAAGTTTGGGAAAGCTCATGTAAACAAATCATTGTGCACACAGATGGGATACTCTGCTTGGGAAAACGCCCAGTACGAAACTGGCATATGGCCTACCTTCTATTCAGACAGAAATGTTTGTTGTGAATTCCCTAAGCTTTATCTCACTATTAGGATTTCACATAATCCCTTAGAATTGTTCCCTTCTGTCTCACATGAAAAACCATGAAAAATAAAGTTAATCTTCAACTGAAAATAAAACAGCATTTATGCCTCAGTACTAAAATGCCTGTAGGCATTCTTTAGGAAACATAGAAAATGTAGTGTAAGACATTAAAGGAATGTTCTTAATAAACTCTTATCCCTGTACTATTTTGGTTGGTTACTAGCTAGGGCTTTAAAGCATAAATAAGATATCCTTGGGTACAATCATTCTTCTTGCTGATGCCAAATTACAAAGTATGAAAACATGTAGTTTGTAAAATATTTTATAGGAGCAAGAGGAAAAACAGTTCTGTGATATGCTAGAATATTCAGATAAGAAACAGGTCCAGAAAGACCCAAGACTTTAATTTAGTTTGTTCATAAATCTTGTTATTATACAAATTCTTGGCTTCTTAAAAATTCCCAGGGAAATCTGTTCACTTACAAATGTAATTTAAATTTGCTTTTCTATTTTATATCCCCACTCTGTAAAAAAATAAGCAAATAAACAGAAATTTTAAAAACTATGGTCTACATACTTGTGTTTTTTTTCCTGAATAATACTGAAATGAAAGATTAATTTATAAAAATGAACTCACGGAGTCTAGATTAAGCATCAAAGTTTACTACAGAATGGTTTAACAATGCCATTCAAAATTGGATTATCTTTGAAAAAATAAACGCCAGCATGACAAACAGCACATGTCAGCATGCCCCAACGCACTCAGGGGATTAACAGGATCTCTACAAAAAAAACCAGCAGTGCTTCTATGGGAAATGCTGTTCCATAGGCTAAAAATAGAGCTGCGGATGAAACAGTACTCATCAATCTCTTGAAAAAGCTTAATATTTTCTGTACCTGTCAAAAAGATTGTATTGGAGTAGTTAATAAAGATTATGAGAATTTAGAATCTGATCTTACACAAATGTATACCCTAAAGTTAACTCACCACCATACCTTAACTCACACACACAGTTGGGCAATCTTTCCAGACGTGCTCAGATTATAAATTTATAACTTATCAGTGATGTGACCTTCCTTCATATCCACTTTTGTGAGCAGACACCAGAGATACTGACTAAGCATGTGTGGCTACCCGAGGGAACTATAGGGTTTTTTTTATTTTTGAGAAACTTTAATTTTTCCAAGAAAAGGGATTCAAATAGAGAAATATGTATTCAAATGAGATCTGCTTTTTTTTTAATTCCCACTTGTCTTGGCATCACTACTTCTTCACCACCAGGAGAACGAATACCTAAGGCTCCCTGGGTACTAGTTTTGAGCAGAAATCATTCTCTTTTCATATCAGTATCACAGCAATCCAGCAGGGATCACTACCAACACAGAGAAGCCAAAGCAGGACTCTACCCTATACTCATGGTTTTATCTGACCCTCATGTAGGAAAGAAACAGCAAAGCCAGATCCTTTCCATTTCCACATTCAGAACAGACATGAACTTACATTGCAACAGCTCAATACTCTGTTGAAATAACTAACAGACTGACTTTCTACTGAAAGAAAATGAAACAAGGAATTTTTCTCACCTGCTTGACGCACTGGAAATTCAACTTGATCTGATACTATGATTTGCAGCAGACTTGGAGCAAAATTGATGATCTTATAGGACTGAAACACATACAAAATATAGTTAGCAAATCACTACGTTTAAAGAAAACTGTATTAGCAAAAGCTCAATAAGAAATACAAACTGAAGATTTTGCAGGGTTCTTTTGACTCTCTGCATGAAGTTTACCCAGATCTGCAGCAATCCAAATAATTACTTGCAAAAGCTGAGCATATAACAGCACATGGGTGAAATAAGTAATGCAAGAAGGCTCTCCATTAGAGATTAGTGATAATGAATACTTTAATTCTGAGAATGCATAATGAGAAGCACTACAGATCTGTCTTTGAATTACTTAACTTAGTCTCGTAAGTCAAATGGATATTGACATGCTTCATCAATATATGCCATTTATTTGCAAAATAGATTGTGGTACAATAGCAATACTGATTTTTTAATAGATTAAGAAAACAATTTTAAATTCTTTTCAAGTGTGAGCAGTATCTGCATTAGCCATATATTATACAGCTAGCTTTTAACGAACTAGAAGTACAGTGCATCTTAATAGAAAAATAAAACCTGGTGAAACAAAGTGGAGTAACCATTTTAAATTATTTTCAGGCACAGACAGATAATATTTTAAAAACCACAGCCTTCCTGGGAACTTTTCAAACGCTACATGAGCCATGCAGCTGAAGAATTTCAAAGAGAAAACAATGCTCACTGAACTTCCAAGCAAAGCATGTCAGATTTAAAAGATGTGAAAATCTGATAGCATTATACTGCTGTCATTCAACAGGGGTCCTCCAACGTGAAGAATCGTTGACTCAGCATGGTGCAGTTACTGCTAAGCTTTGGCAACATCAGTAGTTACTAGCAGGTCAGATCTTTCATCACTTAGATTCGTGTGCTTCATGTTCAAAGAGAGATGCTTCCTGGGGCTTGACAGCAGAAGCTTTCTTTATTTCACCTTTTATAGTATTTCTTTCCAACCAGATTATGCATGGCAGTTCTGTGGTTGTTTCCAGAGCTGTGCTTTAAGTCTACTACATCCTCCTGTAAACTTTGCCTCATTCAAAAGCTGTGAAATAAAAGGTACATTCTGCTCTTCAAGTACCCAGTTCCTTGACTTAGCATTTCCATAACGAGGTAAAATTACAGTGCTTTCATGACACCTAAGTGTAACAGCTGCATCACAACACCACCATTCAATAATTTTACCAAAACACTTACCTTTCTGGCCTTCATTTTACTCATTATATGGATAGTGTAATTGCAACCTACTCTGTGCTCAGAGACTAGTTTGATGTTTATAGAGTAATCCGAGATCTCAGATAAAAGCAGTAATGGCAAATCAAAAGCATACTCTCCTGCAATTCCCTTCTCTATAAACTTTAATTATCCATAAAAAATGCTCCAAATAAAGTAAAGGCTGTAACAGACAGCACAGGAACTCCATTTTTCTACGGACATGCTGAAAGACCAGCTTCCAACATCAACTGGTTTGACACACATTGGATCACAAAGATCAGCTTTTAACTGAGTATCTTAAGAGTCCAAAGCTTGCCCTTCAGTCGCTACCGGAGAGAATCTGTACAATGTTGGTGGGTTTGGACAAGGGCTGCAGTAGGCTGTAGCATCCTCCATCACTCAGCACCCAGCTCCCAGGGAGATAAGGAAGGCACGAGGAATCCCAGCAGCACAGAAAACCAAAAATGTGCTTGAACTCTTAATTGTCCTTTTTCTTCTAAACAGTGCCAATATGCTCTTCTCAGACCCCACCTACACACAGCCTTTACTACTATAAGCAAATTGATTAAGAATGCATCCTTTCAGGGGGTTGTTTTATTGTTCTTTTCCTGCAATAATCCTATCAGTATCACATTTAGGGTGGGCACAGTGATCACAGTATAAATTATTTCCCCTTCTCTGTGCAAACAGCTTTCACTGAATCTACATTAAAGTCACAGGTACTCCAGAAAGCTCCATTGGTACCACCAGTGCTGGTGTACAACTGCTGTCCCTGAAGTTTTGCCAGGATATATACAAATACGGTTATTTGGCCTGTGCAGCAAATCCTTTCAGCAAGTGCCTGGAGTGACAAAAGCCATGTTATGCAGAAGGTACGCAGTGTCTCAGAGGGGGCCCCATCCCTCGCAGCACACTGCTACGAGGGTTTCTTTAAACTTTACATACCAACACCTCTAAAGAGATCACAGTGACACAGTATCAATCTCCCACTAAATCCTTCTACTCCATGCTACTGTCATTACCATAATTCACATTTTTACATAGCTTAATTTTCTACTCATTATCAGAAACGTGAACTCTGTAGAGCTCAACAGAGATTGTGCCCGTTTTAGAAACAAGACACACGACTCTGTTGTATTTGTGAAGCTCAAATACCATCCTGCTCACTTGTACAGCAACGAACCCGGTCAGGAAAACTACACGCCACTGGCAATTTTTAGAACAGAGGACTTTTTAAAAAGCTGCATGCAGCAACATTTTTCCTACACCAGCACATTCTCATTGGTTTAGTTATCATGCTAACCATGATCTTGGGATGTATGCTTTCCCTGTCTTGATCGGGAAACCATACAGCAGGCTCCCAGACCCCAGCAAGTAAAGCTGTACGTATCACGGGAGCAGGTGTAGAACAACTGCCAGGTGTGGACTGTGTAAATTGAAAGAGACAAGGAAGAGACCTCAGAGCCAGACCATTATTTGTATCGTTACAGCTGCACCTGAATTTTCACAAAGGGAGAGCAGGAATATCATCAGTCCCATGGAAGGAAGGGAAAGCTATCTGCTGATTCTGAAGAGACATGCCCAGGAGCCACAGGGAGGCACCAGATGGCTGACAAAGACCCTCAGCGCAACTCCTGTAACACAGCACGCTGCTTTGTGCAGTTTGTGAATAATCACATTGCGCTGAATTCCCATTGTTGGTTGTTAATTCCACGAATTAAGAGCATGGGATACAGTAACATGCAAGGCTCGCAGCTGAACTGGGAGAGGCATACAGCACTGTAAGATACAATTGGGTAAATTGACAGCAATGGAGAAGAGATGCCTATGTCCCCACACATCTTGTTCCATCTGTGTTCACTGTCGCAGGATCTGTGCACTGCAGCTGTACAGCTTCCTGCGCTCTGCCTTTCACCTTTGGCCTAACACGTATTCTTCCCCACCTCAGCATCACAGCTCCAGTCTTCAAAAGAACAAAGTACACATCACTTTTTTGCCTATTTCCTCTTCAATTTGATTAGGTACATAACAGATGACACCCAAGAAAGCCTCAGGTGGGCCATTGAAAAACAGCAAGATGAACACTATCACATGTAAAGGACTAGAATGCAAGGAGAGATAAGCTGGAAATATTCACAAACATTTCCCTAAATGGATCCTACTGAAGCAAATAGTTTTCATATCTAATGTTCAGATTTGGGTCCCAGGTTATCACACATTATACACTGCTGAACTCGTTTCAGTAAGCATTATTCTTCTGTCTTGCTTGCTGTCACATCTAAAGCCCACAGTAAGCAACTGCTCCATAATCATATTTGTCAGTAACCTTCCCACTGCACTGATGGCAACCACAGTGGCTGAGTGCACAACAGCACTGGAAGGTGCTTCTTCCCCTGCAAAACAACAGGACAATCTAGGGCAATGGATATGGAAAACTGGAGCCTTCCCTCAGGTTCTGCCAGTGAAGCCAAGACCATCCTTCTCCACCAGCAGTAAACATCTCTTTCTCTGTACCTCTGAATACAACTATTGCACATAAAAATTGATGAAAAATCAAAGCACCACATATTTGTTTGCAAATACAAACACACAGAAGAAATCTGTACCTTGAACAGATATGCAATTAATTGTTTATTCTAAGGTTTACATACATTTTATCTGAATGCTCAGCTATCTGGTCTACTATGTTTTATTTGCTCTTTGCTGTGCACTGAAAATGTGCTACTTAGAAACTCCATCAGTATTTGTCAAACTGGAGAATATTTTTGCAGTTGCCAATAGTATTTTCTCTCTTGTTCTTTACACTGTCAGTCACAGACAGTTGTTAAAATAAACTAGAACTAGAACTTCAAAAAACACTTTCTTCTTTCCCTGTCTACATGCAAAGGTATTGTTTGAGGAGGGGAAAACACACAGTGTTCTCATTCACAGTGAAAATAAGCATCTGTTAGAACCTACTTGAGCTTCTTTCCTCTCTGGGTTCTGCTGCATCCAGTTGTGAACAAACTCCGCTTTCCACAGTACTTCCAAGCATGCAAGTCAACTTCCTCACCAAATTGGTCTTCAATACAAATACCCGAGATCCCTTTCTCTAGGTAATATGAGATGCTCATTGACACTTTCAGTGGCCTCACCATCCCTGCCTACTATGGTAGCCAGCTCAAGAAAGATGTGGAAGATATGGAAGGAAGCCCAACTTCTGCTCTTCTGCTTTTGGGCAATCTTCTGACACTTTTTTTCTCTTCTTCTAGCACTGCTACTCAGCTCCTGTCAAAACCAAATTCTGCAACTCCTTCTCAATATTTAAACAAACAGCTGTATTTCTGCAATTGTGTTCTTACTTCCCCCTTTGTTACAGGCCAAAGAAATGTATTACAGCAGGTTGAGCCAATGAAGATTCATGCATAAAAATTGTATGGTAATCCAATCTGAACTGGAATCAGAATGACTCTGTATGTTCACACAATCAGACAGTACATCCCACAACACTCCAAGAACTGGCACATGAAAGCAGTTATTTAGCCATTAAAAAAAAATTTTAAACCAGTGAAAGACCCCGAAGTCCATGAGACAGACCTAACAAGGGTAACAGCCTAGAACAGACACGAAAGAAAGGTGAACAGAAATTGAGTGTCTTCCTTAGTATGATAATTGACTGTACTATCAGTAGAGTGTGATTGATAGATATGATTATAAAGTGCACATCAATTGTGATGTGACAGAGCTGAAGAAAAAAATAGGGAGGGGGGAAATTAAAGAAAAAGAGGGGGATGGAAAGATGCGTACACTTAGAAAATCAACAGGCTAAAAGGGAAATGACAGCAGTTACATGATAGAGATTACTGACCTGGCAGGGAATTACTGCAGTAGTTTATCAAGAATCACATTTCAGACAAATCCCATGCTTACATTTCTGTTCAGGTCACTGAGAGAAATGAAGTTTGTTGACGACTCAGAAGTAGCACGCATCATCCAAGGAGAAAGATCAGAAAAATCCCACAAAGAACTTAATGATCTTCAGAACAGCATCAACAAAAATGGAGTGGGGTAATAGGACAAGGGACATGGTCATGCACCCAAGGATAACATGAATTTCTCCTAAAAGCCTGAGGTTTCTTAGTAAGGAACAACCATAGGATAAAAGGACCTTGGTTATTAAGTGATAAGAAATATGTAGACGTTCAACAGGAAGAAGATAAGTGTAGTTTTAGGACATATCAAATGAGGTATTAGTGGCTTTCTGGAATCCTGCAAACACAAATGACCAGATTGCACAAGAAGGATTAATTCAAAGAGAAACAAGTGCAGACAAAAGCTGCGCTCTCCTATTATTTGATTTCATACTCAGTTTTACGATAAGGCAAAGGAAATACAGCCTGTTGAGGCTAGGTAAACGGGCCGGTAGGGTTCAGCCTTTGACAAATTCGTCAGAGAGAGTGCCAAGAAACCTATACTAGTTAAGAAGTAAGATTGGCACAAATGGATATAAATGGACCATAAATTAATTTCAACTGGAAATGCAACGCTTATTTCTACCAGTGGGAGGAAGAAAATTCACAACAGCCCTCTGATAGATATAATGAGGGCAAAAAAAAGGAATGTAATCTTGATTCCACTTCTGAAAGCAGTTAGACGATAATCCAGAAGGCAGACAGCAACTTCACTGATTTAGCTCTATCATTACACAGGTGCAGGCACATAGGGTAGAAAAAGAGGCATTTTCATACATGCTGGGACTTTTTACAGGGAGGCAAGCTTTCATTCATTTTAACTCTATTTCCCATGGAGTCAGGACCAATATGATATTGTTCTAAAGGACTCTCCTTACTGGTACAAGCAATGAGGTGCCTCCAGAGAGGTACTATCTTGGTGAACTAGTAGGATTTATACTCTCTGGAAAGCTCCTGTCACTAACTGGATTCAAACTTGAAAGCAAATGTACACTGCAGATGGGTTAACACAAGAGAAGTTTCACCTCAATATATCCATTGGCAGCA